GTCCTGAAAGAGTCTTTCGAAGAAACCGGAGAGAAAGTCTCTTTATAATCGATGCCTTCTTTCTGTGTAAAGCCTTTTGCGACGAGACGAGCCTTATACCTCTCTACATCACCTTTCGAATCCCTCTTGGTCTTAAATACCCATTTGCAACCAATGGGTTTCACACCTTCGGGCAATGGAACGAGGTCCCATACGTCATTGTCCTTCATGGACTTTATCTCTTTATTCATAGCATCGAGCCACTTTTGAGATTTAGAACTTTTCATGGCTTGACAGAAGTTGATCGGATCATCTTCCGCCATTCCAATGTCAACTTCATGTTCTTGAAGAAATACGATGTAATCATTCAAAATCGCACTTCTCCTCTCTCTAGTGGATCTTCTTAATGGCATTGGTTCTTGACGGTGTAGAGTTTGTTCTTCTGAAACAATTTGTTGATCTTGAGAGGGAGGTATGACATTATCTTGATCCAGATTTGCTTCTTGAACAATATCAGGGATAGAAACCTGATCATTGTCAATGGCAATTGGAGGAATTCCAACATATTCCTCCTCAAAGACAAAGCCTGTAACCCTTTCTCCCCCTGCAAACTCAATATCCTCAAAGAACCTAGCATTTCCTATCTCGAAAATTGCCTTAGTTGTGGGATCATAAAACTTGTAACCCCTAGATCTTTCAGAATATTCAATGAAATAGCAACTGATGGTCCTTGCGTCCAGTTTCTTTTCATTTGGCTTATAGGGCCTTGCCTCAACTGGACACCCCCAAATATGTATATGCTTCAAATTAGGCATCTTGCCCGTCCAAAACTCATATGGGGTTTTATCAGTGGCCTTAGTTGGAACTCTGTTGAGTATATAAGCTGCAGTCTTTAATGCTTCACCCCAGAGAGATTCTGGTAAGGTAGAATGACTAATCATACTCCTCACCATGTCCTTAAGCGTCCTGTTTCGTCTTTCAGCAACACCATTCATAGTGGGCGAACCCGGCATAGTGTACTGTGGGACGATACCGCATTCCTCTAGGATTTTAGCAAACGGTCCTGGATGCTGTTCACCTGAACCGTCATATCTGCCATAGTATTCACCCCCACGGTCAGATCTGACGCTTTTAATCCTTTTGCCGAATTGGTTCTCAACTTCAGTTTTATAGTTTTTGAACACATCCAGTGACTGTGATTTTTCATGAATGAGATAAATATAGCCATATCTTGAAAAGTCGTCTATGAACGTTATAAAATATTGTTGACCATTCCAAGAACCCATAGGGAATGGTCCACAAAAATCCGTATGTATAAGTTCTAAGACGTCCGAAGTCCTATTGGCTTGAAATCTCCTTTTATTGGTTTGTTTTCCCTTTATACAGTTGACACACAAATCATAATCTGTGAAATCAAGAGGGTCGAGAATCCCGTCAGACACAAGTCTCTCA